GGGTTTAAGGTTTTGGGTTTCGGGTTTAGGGTTTAAGGTTTTGGGTTTAGAGTTTAGGGTCTAGGCGCGGTCTAGGGTTTCGGGCCTAGGGTTTAGGTTGACAAAGCTTTAGAGGTTTCAAAAGAGACTCATAGGGTTTCTTGTTGAAGAACTTGACTCAAGCTACCGTGATACCGGAAGCAGGTACCAAATCTAATGTCCTTGATATGAAAATACGTGGACGCAGTCAACTCTGACTAGGCTGCTTTACAGAATCCACCTCCGAGCATGTAGACGGCCCCCTGCCTTGATTCAGACCGACAAAAAACACCATGTCCTCGTGGCACTTAAGCAGGCCTGAGGCGTATCACCCTAAACCAAACAAGGCCCTATAAAAACCCTACGCCCCCAGCCCTAAACTCTCAACCCAAAGGCCCCCTGTAAGCCCTACCTGCGGCCCAAAAGATCCACCTTCTTAAAGAACTATAGACCGAAACCAGGGAAAAAAGGCAGAGCCCAATGGCCTTCAGTCTCAAACCCCGAAATCCCAAAGATTCGCCTCTAAGCGCTAATCCTCAAAGGCCCAGAAGGTTTTAAGGTTTTAGGAGTTCTAGGGTTCTTAGGGTTTTCCGGTTTTGAGGGTTTAGGCTTTAGGGTATCCGGGTTTTTAGGGTTCTTAGGGTTTTAGGGCTTTGGTGTTTTAGGGTGCTCAAAACACGGAGAGACGAGAGGCCAAGCATGTCCACCTCCTTCAGGCTGTAGTGGAGCAGGGGGGGCACTCCAACTCCCTGGCGGCAGAATGCTTTTTTTGGATCAGGGCCTTGGGGGTTGTTGGGGTTGGAAGCCTATAGTATAGGATTCCCTTATGGGTTCCTTTAAGGGATCTATAGGGTTCCCTTATGGGCTCCTGGAAAGGGCCTTAAAAGGGGTGCTGGGGGTGTAGGTTTTTTTGTGCTTTCGGGCTTTAGGCTTCAGGGCTCTCGGGCTTCTGGGCTTTAAGCTGATGGTCGGGAAGCCTAGGCCGTTGAAGCTTTTCGATCGGCGAAGTACAGAGGTTCGAATAGGAGCCTCAAAATGATTCTGATGACGGAGGCCCCTATTTCGTATGCTTGAGTATATAGGCAGGAGACAAATATAGCGGCCTTGGCATCTAGAGGCTTTTTGTATCGGGCGTAGTAGGGTTATTTCAAGCTTGTATAGTTATCAGGCAAGGGGCGAACTATTTATAGGGGCCAGAACTCCCTCGCACCGCACAGTGCTGCTACAAACTATGCTGAACTTGGTACCCTTGCAAAATTTGCAGTTCTAGCTGTTTCATCGGGATGATCGCAACCAAAATAAGTAAAACGTTGCTTCCAAGCGCCCCTAAGAAAAAGGCATGACCTGAGCCACAGCATCCAGCTGCTTCTTGGCGGCCCTAATGTGGGGGCCTTAATGATTAGAATAAGGTTTTGGGGTATATTGTACTATAACTTTAACCAGGAAGACCCTCAACTATAGTATAGGTACTTGTTAAGGCGCCTATCATTACTTCCTCCGGCGCCCGAGCATTCCGCCACTGTCGGGAAAAGGTCGGCCACATGGCGAACTCGAGGTAACTGGCTTCCTCGACGTCCTCCGGGAGAAGCGCTCGTTCGCGCCTTTGCTGCAACAGCGCTCTTGTCCCAAGGGTCCATGTGCCCAAATAGTATATACGTTGGCCCCAAAGCACCTAAATAGAGACTACTTTAGGGCCCAAGTATATACTATTTGGGAGCTTCCGAGAATTAGGATACCTTATTTGGGATCCTTATAATAAGGACCCTACTATTTAGGGTACTATATTAGGGTCCCCCATTTTCGGAAACCCCCATTTTGGTACCATGGACCCTTAGGGTTGCACCTCCCTCCGGTGCCACAGATGCCGCCGCGTGTGGCTGGTCGGCTTGTTGCTACAGCAGCTTCACGGGGCACGTTGAATCATGATTTTAATGTGGGGACTACCAGGGTGATACCTGCACTAAATATCACTGAACCATTGAAACAAGTTCACATAAAGCCGTAAACAACTTGTATCAAGGGATATACTACTTATTTCTAAAATTTTGAGACCTGTACATTCGACGAACAAGTGAAAGGCCATGTCTGGGTTGAAATGTTAGGTCATTCTGTCTAATGTAGGGGCCTTAAATATTTGAATAGGGTCTTGGGGACTCTTTATAGCATAATTATACTATGGAGCCCCCAAAACAATATAGGTAATTATTTAGGCCCCTATGTTAAGTCCTTCCTTAGCCAGCCAAAAACCCAACTCTTGTCCCAGGGCCTCCTGAATGGAGTGTTTTGGGTGCAGGGATGTTCAAGGGGTACAGTAAATTGATAGCAAGGCCGTACCGAAAAGCATAGGTCATGGTACAGTTACAGTAGCTGGCGGTTGCCACTGAACAACCTGAGCTGCGTGATTTGCAGTGTTCGGCTTTTCGCGTCTAGATATGCGGTCAGCCACTGACATTTAGTTGCTACTGCAGACCGTATGCTGAACACCTGCACAAAGACGGCCGAATCCTACATTCAGCCATCACCCCCCTAAACCCTAAACCAATTAACCCTAAACCCTAAACCCCTAAACCCTAAACCCTGTCAACAAATCCTCAACCCCCGAGTCCTCGACGTCCACAGAGCCCACAGGAAAAAACAGCGAAGACCAGGGTATGTCTTCATCGTCCTTCGCAGAGAGCCCAATACCCCTTAGTTAAGGCAACTAGAATACCTCATCGGCTGCAGGGGGCTTGCAGGGTTTAAGGGCAAACAGATATGGGGCTCGCTGGAGGTCTAGCCACTGAGGGAGTAGGACTTGAAGTCCAGTCTTATGGCTTAGTGAAACCTGGGAGGAGAGACCTACAAGGTGCCCAGGTAGTGAGCTGGCTCCGAGTTTACAGGGCTCCAGGATCAGAAACCCTCAACCCTCAACCGAACCCTAAACCCAAACCCTAAACCCTAAACCCTAAACCCTAAACCGCAATAGGCGGCTTCAGGGTTTCAAGGTTCATGCTTGAGGGGGGGCCGAAAGGATCGATGGACCCCGTGGCCACGAAGCTCGAAGCTATGAGCCCTAAGCCCGAAATGAAACCGAATGAGGCTCAAAGAATTTTATAGAGAAGGAAAGCAGAACTGCTGTAGAACCCCATCCACCTCGAAAAAACACCCTTTAAGTCCACATGAAAACTATCATCTTCTACAACGGAGAAGATCGTCTCCTCGAGCTCCACGAGCCCGTGTTGTTTGCATGTCCTGTGCTTTAAGAAACGCGCGGCAGGAAGTAGTGTACGTGTTCTTTCCGGAAAAGGGGTGGCTGTTTCGAGGCTTTGCGGGTTTAGCGCTTTGGTTTGGTTTAGTTTTGTTTTTGTGCGGGTTTAGGGCTTTGGTTTAGGGTTTCGGGTTTAGGGCTGAAGGGTCTGTTTCGTGTTCTAGGGTAGAGGGATTAGTGTTGTGAAGTCGTGGAGCTTTGAGGCTTCAGGGGTGTCTCGTCGGCACTTGTCCCAAAGCAGACACACAGTCGTCAGCAGGAGGGCTTGCTGGAAAACAGCAACCGTTTAGGGGTTTCGGGTTTGGGGGTTTAGGGGTTTTGGGTTTAGGGTCTAGGGCAACCGCAAGGACGACAACGGACGTAGAGGTTGTTGTGTAGCAAGATATAGCACGGTACACGAACTGTCCAAGTAACATTGGGAATCAGCATGCTGATCTGTGCTACAAGATGAACTGGTGAGTTGTCACCACAACGTGTCGTTTTGTGTTGTGCCATCGCCCTTCCTTAGGGGAGGTGGACCCTGAGATTGGCAATTTTTAGGGTCCTCCTGCCAATCTAAGCCCACGACGTTCCCGACGTTGACTACAAAACCGGCTTGGCTAAGCCAATTTACCATCGTCCGCGTCCGGTGGAACGTTCGGAGCCTCCTCCGGAATTCGTGTCTAGGAGGGTTTCTGAGTTCGGGCCTCTGCCGTCACAGTCGAGGCAGCTCAACGCCGAAATTGGCTAACAAGGACGCTCCGCGTCATTAAATACACCATCCGCATGCCGAACCGGCGCCCTACGATCGTCCGCCTCGTTAGCCAAGTTTGCGGGATGGGGGATGCTATGCCCACCACAACCCCTAATACACTAAAATCGATACCCCTAAATAAAACTCTAAACCCCAAACCCTATAGGGTCCCCTAAACCCTAAACCCTAAACCCTAAACCCTAAACCCTAAACCCTAAACCCTAAACCCTAAAACCCTAAGCCCAGGGTTTAGGGTTTAGGACCCCTAGAGCCTCAAATCCCAATTAGCCCAAAGCCATCAGCCCGAAAAATCGTAACCTTTCTAAGGACTTTAGGAGGGATCCCTAATAGAGACCCTTAATCCCATTACCTTAAGCAACCATTGTATAGTCCTTATATACCCCTTATATATTAAGGGTCCCTCCTAAAGCCCTTAAACCTTGTTCTTTTGGCGGTGTAGAAGATAAGCTGCCCGAATAGTTTTGTTCAGGGTTTAGGTTTTAGGGTTGGTGACGGTATCCCCTTGTAGGATTGTAGGATCTATAGAAGTACAGTACAAAAAACACCGCAGAACCCACTTCTAGCTTTAAGGCTTCAAAACTACACGTCCTAATGTCCTGGAGTCCTGCAGTCTCAGCCACGTCTACCCTAAACCCTAAACCGTTAACTCTAACTCGAAGCCCTAAACCCTAAACCCTAAACTCTAAACCTAAATCATAAACCCTAAACCCTAAACTCTAAAGCCTAAACCCTGCCAAGAGTCTGTTCTAGGGCGACAAGCTGGGGTGGTGGCGAGCGCGGGTCCAGCGATGCCAAAAACCTGGGAGATTCCGACTTGTGCAAGTTTGCAGTGGCACTCGGTTAGGGTTTAGGGTTTAGTGTTTAGGGCTTAGGGTTTAGGGTTTAGGGGTGTTTAATTTGGAGGAGTAGGGGCTCAAGGGATGAGGGGAGTAGGGGTGTAGGGTGTAGTGTTTAGGGGTTTATTAAGGGCTATTGTTGAGGGTTTAGGCTTCCTTTGTGAGATGTGTATGCAACACCAAATATCCTGGCCTACTCAAGCTCTGCATGCCAATCTCCAGGTTTAAAGACGAAGGGTTGATGCTTGCAGCAACAGCTGCGCATCTCATGGGCATGGTGGATGTTCATGGAGCCCGGACAGGGATAAACGCATAAAGCATGATGTAACCGGTGACGAACTAGACGAGGGATGTGTGTAGATTGTTTGATTTAGCCGTTTAGCCTTTTCATTGCATCATACCCGACTCATGCTTGGGCATCTTACCAAACTCATGCTTGGTTATTCTGTTCTACAGCAGTTGTGGTCGAAACCCTAAACCCTAAACCCTCAACTCAACCCCATTCCTTCCGTGTCGTCGAGTACCTGAAAGACGCCAGTCGTCGCTGCCCATTATGCTCAGTCTCGATAGACGCGCCCAAAGCGAAACACCGGGCGGCTGAAAACAGTGTACACAGTTTAGGGTTTAGGGTTTAGGGTTTAGGGTTTAGGGTACCATGAAGTACCAGAAGCTAGAAGAAATAAGACAGAGCATGGCAGACCCTAAACCCTGAACCCCTCAACCCTACACGGCACACCGGGGCTCTGACACCTCAATGACGCTCTTTAGGGTTTAGGGTTTAGGGTTAGGGTTTAGGGTTTAGGGTTTAAAATGACACTCTTGAGGGTTTAGGGCTTAGGGTTTAGGGTTTAGGGTCTAGGGTTTAGGGTTTAGGGTTGGGGTTTAGGGTTTAGGGTTTAGGGCTTAGGGCTTAGGGTTTAGGATCTACGCCAGCTCCAAAACCCTAAGGGTCCGTGTACTCATATAGTATATACATTGGCCCCAAAGTATCTATATAGGGACTACTCTAAGGCCAAAGCATCTACTATTTGGGTACATGGACCCTTAGGGAAACATAGACAACCAGCTTAAACCCTAAACCCTAAACCCTAAACCCTAGACCCTAAACCCTAAACCCTAAACCCTAAACCCTAAACCCTAAACCCTAAACCCTAAACCCTAAACCCTGCCAGCTCCAAAACATAAAAAAGCAAGGCCAGGTCAATCGAGCGACGCTTTCAGATCGGCCACTAACTCGAGGTGCTTGAGCTCCGTCCGAAAGGTGCGCCTAGTCATAGTACTTTGTATCAGGGTTTGGGTTTAGGGTTTAGGGTTTAGGGTTTAGGGTTTAGGGTTTAGGGTTTAGGGTTTAGGGTTTAGGGTTTAATTAGCTTTAGGGTTCAGGGGTTAGGGGTTTAGGGATTTTCGTGTGAGGGTTGCGTGTTCAGGGCTGAGACTGTGAACGCACTACCGTTTGAAAACAGGTCTGTTTTTGGCGTTGCCGAAGGCACGGATTCGGATTTAGGGTATTTAGAGTTTAGGGTTTAGGGCTTAGGGTCTAGACCCTAAACCCTCAATCTAGTAGGAGTTAAGGCTTATAGCTTTCTAAGGGATTTGTTGTAAGGTTCAAAATCTTTAAAGCTTACTTTAAGGTTTCATCTGCCTTTAGTTGAGAGTCTGGGATTTAGGGGACAGGGTCGGAGCTCTACTACGGTTTAGATGCAGGCTTCGGCCGATGGTGTCTAGTTTAGTAGGGGGATGTAGGGGGTTTAATATTCAGAAGAGGCTGCTGGGGGTCAGTTGTAGGATTAGTATAGTATGTTAAGGAACGATAGGGCATCATAGGCTTCTATCAGTCAGAGCTTTCGGGCTCTTGTTTCGGGTATGGCTGGAGGTTTGGGCAAAGTTTGCACGTCTTTCGGCTGCAAGCTTGGAGGCACGGTGCCTACCGCAAGACCGCTTAGTGAAGGTTCGCCGGTACGCCGCTAAACTCGGAAAGTTCTAGTCTTCATGCATGCTCTCAACTGCCGTCGCGGCAGCTGAAATCGGACTCATTATGCTTATCTGAAAGCGGTTCGGTTTGACGGTTCAAAGGCTCTTCATGATGTCTGCAGACTGCTTGCAGCTTCGGGGTAATCGCTAGACACGGCTTCGTCCAGTGATATGGGGGCCTTAAGAATTAGAATAAAGTCTTGACAGACTATTTTATCTTATACGTAGTTATACAAGGACCTCCAATGACCCTCCAACTAGAAGGAAGAACAAACTGTAATTTCAGGCTTCTTCTATCAAGGCCTGGAAGTTGAGCATTGTACAAAATGGGTTTTGGGGGGGTTGGGGTTAGGGTTCTGGGGTTGAGGGGGAGGGGGGGGGCGCCTCTGCCAAATCTCGCCGCTTTCTTTACGCAAGCAAAGCTCGAGTTGATCGGCAGCTGTAGGCGGCATTGCATCAGAAAGAAAGGCTCGGTAGCGCCGAAGCGTCCTCAACAGTTCGAGTTATCTTCCCCTGCTTTTCGGCACCCAACCAGCGCTTCCTATCAAAAAGCAGCCCGAAAGCCGGAGAAGGGGATGGAGAGTGAGAGAGGTGCGCGCAGCAACTGATACCCCGATCTGTTGAGTCACCATCGTCAAGCTCACCCTCTCAACCGTCAAGGAAGTCTGCATGTAGCTGCGAGCCATGGGCTGTCGACAGGCAATGGTGTCATGCATATGGGAATTATTCCTCAAGGCTTCTGAATTGCTTGTCGCTTCCAGGCAAACCACGGCTTCGTAAGGAAGAAATGCAGCTCTAGACCCTCCTAAATCATTAAACCCCAAGACGAAGCCCCAAATCCTCGAACATATGATGTGCTGAGAATTCCTGCCAGTTTGTCAAAAGTCTGAGAGGTGCCTTTCAAAACGCCTATTGGGGTGCAGCAAGCTGCGTGTCGGTTGCTGGACAAGCCTTCCATAAATTCTCGAGTCTATCGTGCAACATTCTGCTACCTTAGCTCCGGAGAGGATACTGGTGCAAAGCTCGATGCAGGGGTGCTGCCTTGACCAGTCGAAGCAGAGGAGCTCGTTTTGACCATAGCTCAAGCCGGCACTAAGGTAGGCTTTCTGGAGAGCTCTCTCCATTGTTGGTGGTAAGCCTTCCCGGTCGGAAAAGGTGTCGGCAGCGATTTTCTGCGCCTCCTCTCCGGACAATCAAGCTTTGCGAGCAGAAGGGTGTAGGTTGTTGAGTTGACACGTTAAACCCTAAACCCTGAACCCTAAACCCTAAACCCTGAACCCTGAACCCTAAACCCTAAACCCTAAACCCTAAACCCTGAACCCTGAACCCTGAACCCTAAACCATATATAGGGTTGAGGATCTTGAGTTCTTGTGATGTCTCGGTGTGTTCGGGACGCTTGACCTTCGCTGCTCAAACTGTCGGAGTTCTAGAAACATTTATATAGTGAATATAGTGCCTCGGTTCCTAACCATAAGGCTCTAAGGGCTCGTGTGTTGAGGCTTTGGGCCCAAAGACCGTACTAGTTTGTGCCATTTTGAGCTTTAGGGAAAGACCAGGATCTTAGGATGCCAGAGCGAGCAGCGACGACAAGAGGGAAGTCCTTCCAGCGTCCATGGGAGCACGCGCCGAGCGCTGCACCAATAGCGGCCGCGTCCACATTGCACTGCAAGTCTTTCATCGCACGGAAGAAATGGAGCGCCATCTCCCATGCCTATAGAACGGGCTTTATGTGCATGGGTAGCATATGGTCCTAATAAAGGCGCAGAATGGTACAGTTCAGGCCAATTGCCCTGGCTGCGGCTCTGTTGAGTACCGCTGTTTCGGTTCGATGGCTTCATTTCAATGCTTCCTCCAACTTTCCGTTAGCTGACTGTCTTGAGCATCTCATGCATACAGACCACTATGCCGCTTTACTTGACATACAGGGGCTGCCCAAGACAGCCAGCTAAATACGCATAAATTCACCAGCCCGATGATCGCTTCGCAATCTGACCTTCGATCTTGGGAAAATAAGATGCGGAAGATGCCTAATGTAGGGGCCTTAATAATTAGAATAGGGTTTTGGGGCCCCACTATACCATAACTACAATAATAAGGAAACCCCACAACAGTAATTATAGGTAATTATTTAGGCTCGTATATTATTGCAACTTGTGGGTTTCCCCAGCGACTTGCCTGCCCTGCCGCACAAACGGCAATGGTCGTGTTGAAAGAGACTTCATCTGGGGCTTGGCTGAGTGCCTGCAACACAATCAACGTCAAGGGATGCTTCGGAGTTGTACATGAAGGGCTTAGCGGCTTGCTTCGATTCGGGTTCAGGGATTAGGGTTTGGAGTTTAGGGTTTCGGGTTTATGATGCTGTGCTTGAGTTGTAAACTGGAAAAGCGGTGAAAGGAGGCCGCGACCCTCAACCTGAGACAGGATACTGACAGAATGTTGAGCACCAGGAAGCTGCCCGAAATCTGGTCATCCATTCTAAACCCTGGACCTCCGAACCAAAACCATCCTTCATTGTGAACCCCAAACCCCCAAACCTTGAATTTTGTGGTGTTCCTTTATTTTAAAGGACTCTATAATTCTATAAAGGTTACTGTAGAAACTGCTAGAAAGCAGCGAACCCCACACCCCAAACCTGCCGCCCTGTGCCTGCCAGGCATACTGCAGCTGGTGGGTCAGGGCTACCGCGCGCTGCCACGTGCGACTGGCCCCACAGGCCGCCATTGCTGCGTTCACGACAACCTGAGATGGCCAGATTCTAGGTTGAAATGCTTTGTGATTTGGATACCTTAGAAGGGATCTATGAGGGTTCCTATAGGGTTTCTATAAGGGTACCATGAGCGTTCCTATAGGGTTTCTATAAGGGTACTGTAAGGGTTCCTAGAGGGTTTCTATAAGGGTACTGTAAGGGTTCAGTTTGGGTGGTTCTCTAAATTAGGGTCCCTTTCAGGTTCTGTTTTACAAGGGTGCGGGCCACTATACTGGGGCCCTACAAGGGGACCATGAACAAAAAAACTACCCATTTAGGTTGGGGGCTTCGGCATGTGAGCAGCCATGTTGTGGGGGCTGCTTTTAATATGGATCCTAGAGACCCTTCTTAGAAGGGTCTCTGGTCGCTATGATCCCCATATTTTCTCAAACCCCCATGTGATCGGCTAAGTAATTGTTATGAGGGCAAGGAGCCAGTTGGCTGCGCATGACCATGTCACGTACTATTGCGGCTAGTCTACGTTCCCCAGTATTCCCTGTACAAACAAGGGTATCTCGTTGAACTCCTATTCTTCAGCCAGTAGCAGCTTTTACCAGGAAACTCCAAAGCAAAACATAGGCGCATGGGTACTTCTGGGTGACCTGGTAGCTAATATCTCGCCGAGCAGCCGTGTTCAGCTGGGTAGCCTCGTTTGAATACCTCAGCGGTTGATCACTTCGCAAGGTAGTCTCCTCTGCCCAAGAGGCCGCTTAGGGGTTTTTAGGTCTTGGGGTCTGGGATTCAGGGGCTTACAGGTTTAGATTTGGAGTGTATTACTGCTTTGTCGTTTACCCAGACCCTTTAATGTAGCATGTAGTACCTTGTTTGGGTTACCTTAGTTTCTTTTTATAGGATCCTAGCCATAGAATAGGTCATCCAAACAAGTACTACATTGAAGGGTCTAGGTATGGTGGACAACTGAGAGTACCACTCATCGGGTTTGGGGTGGTGTATTACTGCTCCGTCTTTTATTATGGTGAACCCTAAACCCTAAACCCATAAACCCTAAAACCTAAACTCCTAAACCCTAATAAGCCTTAAATCCTACATCCTAAATGAGGCCCTACATGAACAACTGAGAGGGCCACTCGTCGTAGAGCTGCAGAGCCGCCTCTGCACTCTGACCCTGCGCGCATGCCGTGATGCAGGAACTCCAGGAGACCTTGTTTTTTTTGTTTGGGGTTTAAGGTTTATAGGGGTTTATAGGGTTTTTTGTGCGGTTTAAGACTTATAGGAACTCCAGGAGACCTTGGGGGGCTTTCTTCGACAATGCAAAGACTGGGCGAACTGATGGCAATGGCAACTAGGGCTTTGGGACTTAGGGTTTAGGGGTTTAATAAACCCTAAACCCTAAACCCTAAACCCCTAAACCCTAAACCCATTTAAGGCTTAGTTCGGATTTGGGATTAGGACGGTGAGGCGGGCACCGCGCAACTGTCTCGCCCATGCCCGTCTGCAAGCTCCTGTTCTTCCATACTACAGCAATCTCTGGCAGCTACTTGGCAGCTTCAAAGGAACAAGAAACCCCGAATGTAGAACCCCAGCTACTAGGATCTTGGTAAGAAACCCTCAACACTGCACCCCCCAAATTATTGCAACAACGGTTTAGGGTTTAGGGTTTAGGGTTTAGGGTTCAGGGTTTAGGGTTTAGGGACTATATACCTGCTGCTTAGCTGCTGCATCCCTGTGCAGGTTCTTGAGCCGCATAAGCTCAAAGAGAGCCAGCGCATGCTGCCACTTCAGGCGCCCCACGCAGGCCGAGATCACCGTATTGAAAGACACCTCGGGGTCGGGATCTACACCCGAAGCCCTAAACCCCCCTAAACCCTAAACCCTGAACCACTAAACCCCTAAACCCCTAAATCCCTAAACCCCTAAACCCCTAAATCCCTAAACCCCTTAACCCCTTAACCCCTAAACCCCTGAACCCCTAAATCCCTAAATCCCTAAATCCCTAAACTCTAAACCCTAACCCCTAAACCCAAACCCCTAAACCCCTAAACCCCGAAACCCCGAAACCCCTAAACTCTGAACCCCTAAACCCCAAAACCCTTTAAACCGCTAAACCCCGAAACCCCTAAACCTCAGGGTCGGGGAGTCGGGGGACTCCGCCACAGGTTTCGGAGCTTAGGGGCTCCGGGGTCTCTCGGGTTTAGGGCTCAAGGGAACATAGCTGCACTCCGATAGAGTAGCCGTCTTCCCTCGTCGGGCTCCCTAGGGGCTTATGGAACTGAAGTCTATGAGGATCTTCTAGGTGTCAATACGAAACAGCTGCACAATGGAGCGTTTTTGCCAGAAGGGAAGGATGTGGGTTGACGTTGCTGCCTTCGGCGGTGCATGCGAGCACACACACACACACACAAATTCTAAGATAGCGGCCTTCAAAATTTGAACGGCGTCTTGGGGCATGGCTTAACCCCTACCTCTATATACCTGTATCCTTTCGGACTACCCTAAATTTCTAAACACTAACCCTCTAAACCCTAAACCCCTATAAACCCCCAAACCCCTATAAACCCCCAAACCCTAAACCCCTAAACCGTAAACCCCTAAGCCCTAAACCCTGAAGCCACCTAGACCTCAGCATGCACCGCATAGTTCCAAACCTCGTGCTCCAACTCCTTAAAGGCCAGGCCCCTGAAACACTAAATCCCATTAGAGTCCGAAGCAGCCAGATGTAGACTGAAATGAGTGAGAAACCATGGGGTGTATCACCCGATCCGGCTCATAAGATCGCTCAACTAGGAACTGCAGTCGGCTTTGCAAACATCCCCTTCTGCTCGGAGCTGCTCTAAACCATGAGCCTCGAACATGTCGAACTTGGCCGTGGTAATCCCATATGTTGGGAAAAACACCCTATACCCGCAACGCCAGACGAAAGGCCTGCACACCCTGGAATCGTAAACTGCGCTTCCTTTCGGAGGTCAAGGTCTTCCCCGCGAGCCTTGATCTACTACTCTTGACTAGGCGCCTTTGGGGTTTGGGGCGTGTTCTGAGTTCCAGTCGGGCATGAACTTTAGGGTTTAGGGAGTAGGGATTAGAGTTAAGGGTTAAGTAAGGGTTAAGGGTTTAGGGTCTAGCGGTTTAGGATTTAGGATTTAGGGGTTCAGTCAGTTGGCATCGTAAGATCATGACCTGTAGCCAGTAGTGCTGCAGCTTGGTGCGATTCTGTTGCTGCCCGTCACCTTCCCCGGCCGACGTCACAAGCCCGGATGCAAAAAGGGGTTTAGGGTTCAGGGTTTTGGTTTGGGGCTCTGGGCGCAGGAGAAGTTGGGGTTCAGGCTCGAAGGAACGGTACTGGAAAAGGGCCGAACCTGAAGCAAAGACAAGACATGGAGAGAAAAGGCGAGAGGCCTAAACAGAGAGAGAGAGAGAATAGATCTAATATATGGACCTTAATAATTAGAATAGGCTTTGGGGATATCTTATACTAAAAATCTGAGCCCCCCAAAACCCTGTTCTAATCATTACATCAAGGCCCCGACATTAGTTCGAAGGGATCATCTTGGGGCTCCGTTTGTTGCTAGTTATGATGCAGAGTTTCGGGCTAAGGGTTTAGGGTTTAGGGGATTAGGGGTTTAGGGCTTAGGGGTCTAGGGCTTTAGGGGTCTAGGGCTTTAGGGGTTAGGGTTTAGGGTTGACTCAAACATAGCAAAACCGGAGCTTGTATGTCCACAAGATCTGTAGGACCATGTCCGGGCCCATTTCCAGACCGGTAGCCCGACATCTCATCCCAGAGCTCAGCCCGTAAAGTCCCGTAAAGATAAACATGCAGTATGTGCCCTAAAACGGAAACTATTAGGCCCAATCCTAAAACCAAAAGATGCGCAGTTTCAACACCAAATCTAAGCTCCTAAAGGACCCTTAAGCCCCAAACCCCTGAACACCCTAAGAACGACAGTAGAAGCCAAAAAAGTTGGAAACCCAATAGCATCAATCCTTAAGCGTAGTGTATGGGGAATCCCAGCACAAATTGTCCATAATCCGGTTTCCAACTTTTCGGAGTTTACCCTAAACCCTAAGCCCAACATCCCTTCGAATTTCAGTTCACAGCTCCTCGGTGGTGCGCGCCCCTCAGTCGGAGTCTCTTGCCCTACGGCTCTAATTAGGTACTGTAGGAGCCGAAATAATTACCAATACAATTTTTTGGGGGGTTCCTTTATTATAATTATAGTATAACAAACCCCAGACCGTATTCTAATTGTTAAGGCGTCTACATTGCCTGTAAATGGATTCTCGTCAGGGTTCGTTTAAGGGCTCTTTCTGGGGCCAGGGTTTACTATCGGGGTTTTCGAGGGCCCATGTACTTATCATTATGGATGATTTTTGAATGGATGGATGAGCGGACGAACGGAGACCGAAGAACGGATGGATGAAGGGATGGATGGATGTATAATTTGATCCTATTCTGGTCGTAAGGTGTATAGTGGTTGGTGTGCATGAACCCTCATCGTTGGGGTTCAGCAGGTGGGATCTCGCTTCGCTGGTTCGGCAGCGTTTTGGACATAGGGTTTAGGGTTTAGGGTTTAGGGTTTATGTTCCAAGTTCGTGGGGGTAGGTATCAAAGTGCTGGAAGGGTGGGATGAAATCCCAACATAAGAGTCCACATAGAAGGGATCCTGAATCCTACCTAGCTTCGCCTTCATCCCACCTCTTAAGGCCTCCAAAGGTATGCAGCCCCTTGCCCACAGATCCCCTTATCAACCCTGTGACTACACCCTAAACCCTGAACTCTAAACCCTAAACCCCTACACCCTAAACACTAAACCCCAAACCCTAAACCCTACTTAGCCCTGTAGCCTGGAGTAGTGGTCGGGTCGACGACCAGCCACAGAGGCGATCCAAGAGCTCCAGTGTAAATGTCAAAAAGTGGGATCTTTCAAAGGGAATTATACGGGTTCCTTTAAAGAGGGAGATAGAAGGTGCCTCGAAAGGAGGGCTTAGCGCGGTTTTCTTTTGAGCTCGTCTTCGAACTTAGGATTTGGTCAGCGTTCAAGGTATGGGGTGCTAGACATGCCCGTGCCAAAGGCACAGTAGCCAAAAGGTGCTCAGTACCAAAACTCTTGAATATACAGGTTAGGGTTACAACAGAGTGAGCCGAGTGAGCGGTTCCTAAACCCTAAACCCTAAATCCTAAACCCTAAACATCTCAAGGACACTGAGGCAGAGGGAGTATATAGTCGACCGCGAAGCTCCGAAATTCACTTGCAACCCAGCCTCGCGAACCCGGAAAGGCCCCATAGTGGGGGCATCCGTGGCCCAAGCGGCACCGCTGTTCTTATGGATTTCAGGAAGCAAAATCTTACTTGGTGGCTTAGTGGACAAGCACAAGAAGCGAATATTGTGAAAGCCTTCCCTGAAGGCTGCGAGCAAACAAATGATACCTAGCTTGTGTTTTGAAGGCGAGACATAGCATCTTACAGTGGCCTTCAAAACCCATGGACAGAAACCCACCAGGAACCTCCCGTTCCCAGGCGAAGCCGTACGCCCACCATGTCTTTCTTCAGGCGCCTGCAGGGGTTTTAGTTTCAGCTTGTTCGGCCACTGTACGTGTGTTGCAGTGGAATTGTGCTGTCCATGGCCATGGACCCCATGTTTGTTAGGAGCAATCACCAGTAGCCGTAAGCATGTTCCGGACCCGGGATCCTCTGAGCACTTCTTCGTCGTGAGGTCCTTGTTCTTCGTCTTGTCCTTGCTGCTGCTGTCGGCCGCACAGGACACAGGCACGCCGATTCTGGCCCTACCTTAACCGTGAACCAGTCTGAGGGCATACATAAGGACGCCCGTATAATCCACAGGAATCCCTGAGTCTTAAAACCCCTGGCCATTTTGGACTTCGGATTCCAAAAATGCCCTTGGCCTTGAAGCCTATAAGGATCAGGCTCAGAAACCCTAAACCCTGAGCCCAGAAGTAAGCAGCCCTAAACCCTAAACTCTAAACCCTGAACCCAAAGCTAGGGGGCCCAAGCCCTGAGCCGAAAGCTGTGACATCAACTTCCGTGCTTGGATAGGGTGCACGACCCTACACCTTAAACCCAAACCCCTAGACCCTAAACCCTAAGTTCAGCAACACCGGGTGGAAACCTTCCCATAGACTTAATTCTTCTATATGTATAGTAATTAATGTACCCACACAAACACTACGCTTGATAAGGCTCCTGCATCATAGGAAGCTGCGGGAGATTTCATCAAATCAGAGCTACTAGGGCGTTCTAAAAGTGTAATGGCGTCTCTTACTGTCATCGGGCCTTTTCCCGGTTTTCTGGTACACTGGTCAGGTGTTTAGGGGTTCCTCTGCCTGGTGCTTCGTAGGGAATGGGGGAATGGGTTCTTGGGATTACTACTAAGGGACCTTGTACTATCATAGGGATCCGTTCCCCCATTCCCAACTAAGAACCACCAGACAGTCCTTTCTTCTTCTTCAGGGGTTGCAATAAGCCTGGAGGCAAGAAGGGCTTAGATTGGAGTGATTTATGATGTCGCTCCTCGGGGTATTGCACTTTGAAGGACCAGATGATCTTGTGTTTGCCGGATATTGGTTTCAGCTGTCTCCGGTGTTTTGCCTTCGTGAAGAAGGAGACGAAACTAAAGGGTACATCTGAAGGGGCATTTACTTGGTGTTGAATCCGGGAAGAGGGAGTGAGGCGGAGGATATCCATCCCGTCCCCCCTAGGCCTAGGTCCTGGGTCATCAGAGACGGTACCCTGCAGCACCTGCGCAGACAGGCTTTCTGCAAGAATGCCGTTATTTTGTGGAATGCGTGTTGAACAGCAAAATGTACA